GGGGCTTTTTCAGTATTTATCAACAACAGCTTTCATCGACTGAGTGCACACCCTGAATAGGCCTTGAGCCCTGCACTTTGCAAGTGTCATACATGTAACCCTCACAATGAGCCTGTAATGTGAGAGCCTGTAACAAATGAGGAAACTGAGGCACAGAGAGGTAATTTGATGTGGCAAAGAGTGGGTTTAAGTTTTCCCCATCAAGTGGGTCTGCTTGGTGCCAGCAATGGAGGGGGTGCGCTGGGCCTTTTCCTGCAACACTTGGCTGCCCAGCTGAGCGGAACGGCTCCTGGAGGTACCACCAGCAGCCGGAGGAGTTGGTCTCTGCCAGGGACACTAAGGCAGCCATGGCTGGTCGTCTCATGATGAGGATTTTAGTGCAGAGAAATACAACATCTCTTGAAATAACAGTCATTTGCAGAGAACTGCAAAAAGGAAACAAGTTCTTGCAAAAGACTCATCTATTCCTTACCCAGTTTCATCTTTAACTTCACCTGTTAAAGGGACTGGGCGGTACTTGTTGCTGAACCTGAGCTACAAGTTGGAATTGAACCGGGTCTTGGTTCAACTTCAGAATGCCTCCTGAGTATGAAAGGAAAGTTTACCAACAAGGAATGGGAAGCAATCAGAAGCTTTAGGGATGAATGGACTCGGCTGCATATGTTCTATGGGCATCGGGCCCTGAAAGAAAGCTTCAGAGAAGCCATAGGTGCTGGACTAGGGTTTGAATCTCAATGGCTTGAATGTGATATGTCCCCATTGAACCTGGAGATGGGCCAGGTTTATAAAGAAACACGTTTGTGTCTGGATGGAGAAGGAGGTAAAGAACGGGTGTTTGAGGAGAGCCAAACAGATGAGCACCATCTGTGGCAGTAGCTCCTAGGAAGCCCGACGCATCCAGACATCAGGATGCTTCATCTCAGGATGATCCCACACCCCCAGAGGCAGGTCCTGTCCTTCCCTATAGGACTTAGTGTCACCTGCTGCTCCTGTGAGCCCTGCACAGCCTTCATGTTGGGACTGTTTCATTCACAGAAGAAGTTCTGACGGGAAATGCTACAAAGTCATGATAAGTAAGAAAGGGAAATGAGAACTGTTTGTAATATTTTGTTCTCACTAAAAAATAAATGCCCATTACTATCAAATTTCATTTGATAAAACAGCTTGAAAAAACGCACACACAACTTTCCATACTTAGAGAGCGCACTCCCAGTTCAAGAAAGCTTAGTAGAATACATGTTTACCTTTCTTCCTCCCCCGAATCACTCTGAATTGACAGAGAAATGGAACAGGGTGGCGGAATCTGAGCTGATACAGGTGTAGTTCATTTTATTTCACTTTGCTTTATTGCGCTTCACTTTATTTGCGCTTTCACAGGTGTTGGCG